GGTAGACAGAGCCAGAGTGTTGGAAAAGATAAAGAATGAAGTGGAAAGTCAGCAGAGGCAGCCTCCGAGAGTTGGTGGACCATCTGGGTCTAGGTTCAGTCAGGGAGACAGGAGGAAACCTTATTCTAGGCCTCCCTCTCATGGGTCTAGGGGGTCTTCTTCTCAGCCAGTAGGTCAGGTAGGGCAATCTGGTGGAGTGAGATGTTATTCTTGTGGAGGACCACACTATAGGAATGTTTGTCCTCGCTTGAGTGGTGCCATGAAGTGTTATTATACCTGTGGGAAAGAGGGACATGTTGCCATGGACTGTCTGCAGCTAAAGGATCAGGATCTTAGTCGCAGCGGTCGGGTCCATCTCAGCAAAGGGAAGGTGGCAGACCTCAGGCTACAGACAAGGTTTATGCTATGTCAGGGGCAGAGGCAGCAAGGTCAGGTAGCCTTATTATCAGCAATTGTTTGGTAGAGATTGCTATGTTTTGTTTGATTCTGGAGCAACACACTCCTTTGTGTCTTATGTTTGTGTGCGTGAGTTGGGGTTGCCAGTGTGAGCTACAATATGATCTTGTGGTGTTACTCTAGCTTCTGGGTTGGTCAAGACATCTACGGTGTGTGCTAGATGTCCTGTGGTGGTTGAGGGGCGTCAGTTTAAGGTGAATCTCATTTGCTTACCTCTACAAGGTTTGGAGGTGATCTTAGGGATAGATTGATTATCTGCCAATCGCATTCTCATAGATTGCGAAGAGAAGAAGTTGTTGTTCCCTGATGTGGAGTGAAGTGAAGGATGGGTCGTGTTGTTTCTTGGTGTTCACGCATATGGAGGTTGATCATAGTGGGGGGAGCTTGGATCACTTAGTTGTAAGTGATTTTTTGGACGTGTTTGCTGAGGAAGTGTCAGGGTTGCCTCCTCAGAGGAAGGTTGAGTTCTCAATTGATCTGGTGCCAATCACCCTTATAAGATTATATCTTGCATTTTTCATTTTTTTCCCTGGACGAGTAGAAAACGAAAGAAAGAAAACTGGTTAGTTTTGGGCTCACAGAAACCAATTTTAAACAAGAGAGGAGAGCGCGGGTGGGGATGGATGACTCCAGAAAAATAGAAAGGTTTATAGGACGAAAATAATTAAGGGAAATAGATGGACTAACCAACAAATTAAAGAAGGCATGTTAACCGGATAGAATATGAATTGAAATGCTTGTAGCAATAAGTTGGAGACATAGTTTTGTTAGAGTTACAATTTGTATAATGTCAATTGCTAGCAATGAATGAGACTATTTCATCTTGCTTGTGGTAGGCAGTAGCCTCAAATACTTGAGTATTTGGATGAATTTTGAATGTTATTTATTTGATAATTCTGTCAAGTGTTTTTTATTCCTTTTTGTATTGTTGAAGAAGTGATTTATATATTCTTGTTCACGTTATTGTTTATCGTAGGTATACTTCTATGCATTGAATCTTTTTTAACTGCTATTTTATTATTCTACTGTTTCCAACATCCATATTTCCAAAAATATTAAGGTAGGATCCAGATGTGAAGTTGAACCTGGGGCAAAAAGAGGTGTTGTAAAATTTGTTGGTCGGGCAGAATCACTGGGTCCTGGTTTCTGGGTTGGAGTACAGTATGACGAACCCTTGGGCAAACATGATGGCATGTAAGTACAATTTCTACATTTATTTATGATATGCAAATTAGTGGAGTCAATTCTCAATTAACCTATCATCTTAAGTTTTCTTAAGTATTACTTCCACACTTCTCTCAGAATTTTCCTGCGCTATGTTACAGGGTTAAAGGAGTACGCTACTTCGAATGTCCTCCATCTCATGGTGGAATAGTTAGACCAGATAAAGTGAAGGTTTGTTTAGAAACACATTGCAATGATATTTTAAATATTGGGATATTTTCCAATGTTAATGGTGGTTCTCTATTCTGATAAAAGTATTGATTAACACACATAACCTGGTTTCACGATAGAAAATAAAGAAAAGAGGAAAAATATAATAGGTGCTATTTTACCCTTATTTGCATAAAATTCATTAAATTTTGCATAAAAATCATTAAATTGTGCAAAAAAAAATGTCATTTACGTGTACATTTCCTTGTCAGGTTGGTGACTACCCTGAACGAGATCCCTTTGAAGAAGATGAAATATGAGTTTCAACGTGGAGGGTTTTCCTTTTGTGGATCAAGTATTTGTTTCCAGAACCTAATCAAGGGTTTCATTGTGGTTTTTGAAATGTTTGTGTTGTTTTTAAAATGAAAAACCAGTGCAACGTGAAAAACATAAATTAGATGTTCATATGATGGTAAAATGAAAGCCAACAAAGCGGGATGCTACTTCAGAGAACATTCAAATTTGTTTTTATTACTCACTGAAAGGAGTTAGTATAAATTTTTAAGCCCATATAATTCGGTAAAGGACAACACACGCGAAGACTAATTATGTTAAGAATTAGATTTATAAGTAAGTGTTTAATGCTTTTAGGTCTGAAAAAGGAATAAATATATTATGGCCTGTTGTTAAAGTTTTCTTCAATTTTCATCTTTCTAATTAATTGTTTACATATGAACCAGAAGATTGATATGTTGTAAAAAATAGTAATACAAGAATACCAAATTAAAAGTTATGTGGTCTGAAAAGATATGGTTTTTAAAATTTTATTTTTTTATTTTAAAAAGATCAGATTTTTTTTTCTAGAATTTGGGATAAATCCTTTTACTCTCGCATTAAAAGAAAGTTTATTCTAATTCCTCACATTTAGTAAATTATGATTTTAATTTTTCTGAAGGACTATACACAGTTTTCTAAAACTTATTTTAGTCTCTCAAATTTAATGTTCAAAGATTAAAATCGCATTTTCTCAATTTGAAATATTTTATTTTGCTTGAATTATTTCAAATAAGTTTACGTATTTAGGTAGTATCAGCTTAAAAATAAAATGCAAAAGGGAAAGTTAATTAAAAATTTATCTAAATTGTGTTTGAATAAAAGATTTTTATCATTCTAAAAATTGATATTTAAATGATTTAATATTTTAATTTTTTATTTTATCAACATTTGTTTGAAAAGAATAATTAAAATATTTTATATTTTTATTTTTTGTTTGAATAAAATAATTGATTTTTTTAAAAGATAAATTTTATTTTAAAATATAAAATTTTGAAATTACACTTTATAACATATTAATCAAATTTAAATATTTAAGTAATATTTAACCATTTAATCGTTTAAACAAATACGTGGGCAGAAAAAAAAAGCTACTAGTTGTAAAAATTCAATTTCTTTACTTCTTTAACAAGTTCTAAATTTGAATATTCTTCTAATTTTACATCCAAATAACTTATTTTATTTTAAAAAATAATTCATCAATGAATTATTCTTTTAAATTCTCATTTTAAACGGTGCATAATTATTATTTTTTCACAAAGATTTATTCATAATGAGATTTTGGAGTGAAGTTAACTTGAATTTTCAACATGCATGAACATATATATATATATATATATATATATATATATATATATATATATATATATATATATATATATTGAAATGTAATGGTGGGAGATATTTTGACGTTACCTCTTTCTTGGTAGCTGCTGGAGAAGTTGGTAACGTCCTTTTCTTCAGCAATTTCATGGAAAGTTGGTGTTTTCTTTATTAATGATTGTAATAACCTATTTCACGTTCATGCCGCCATGATTCACGAATCATGTTTCTCATTTCATAATCTTAATATCCCACGTTTCTTCAGTTCACAAAATCCTCACGTCTTTTATCAACTAATAAATATATTACTAATCTTTCAATTTAGAAGCAAAATTAAAATTTGTTCATTTCTAAAATTTATGTTTTCTATTTTAAATTTTTAAAATAAAAAATTAATGTAGTTTTCTTAATTTAATTATGTAAATTTTTTTATATGTTAAATAATGGTTTAGAATAACATTTAATATATCAATCGTCAATCTAAAATTCATTTCATATATTAAAAAAGTTTAAAGCAATACGTTTGCATAATTATATTTATTTATATTTAAAGTTGAAAATCAAATTTTGATAAATAATAGATAATACGAATCATTATAAGAAAATAATAAATTTTAGATACGCTTAACTAATAGCGTGGTTTTATATTCCATCTATGCTTAATTAATTTATTTTTTAAACATGAACAACTTAGATTTCACACACAACTTATTCCTCTTGTTCAGTTTTTGGGTTAAATAAACTTTACAATAATTAAATTAATGCTTTTTCAATTGACCAAAGTCACAAGTTAGTACTTTTGACATGGAAGATTGGAATTTATAATGTCTGCGCACATCACTTGATTAGATTCCATGTTATTCACGGCAACTATGACCAAATGCATGCTAAAATACAAACTCTTAATCTAGAATTATCAAGATAATACTATGAGAGAAAACATTTGAATTATTGTAATTTGTTTTGAGTTTATGAGATGGAGGATATTAATATTTCTGAAATTTATCAAGATAAACTTAATTGAAATAATAATATTTTAAATTTTAATTATAAATCTTAGTTATTAAGATTGATTTTTGTTGAGACGTAGGATTGAGGTCAATTCAAACTTGAAATGACTCGCAAAGAGGTTTGTAGTTGGATAAATAACATTCGTGGTTTGTTCATTTTAAGTTGATTAAGATTTTTGACCATATGTTTGAGAAGCTTTTAGATTGTTCGGCTAACTAACTAGTTGGATAACACCAAATACATATTGAGATTATATTATAGTATACGTTTTTTTCATTAATAAACATCTTTAAATAGAATTATAAAATCTAGAAACAAAATAAAACTATTTTTAATTTATACGTTGAATGAAAAAAAAATGAGCAGTTTGATATATATGTAGCTTGTGCTGAGTCATGTTCGACTTGACCAGACCTGTTGACTTGCTTGCCGCCCTCATGTTTCACCTTCTTCCAATTCATCTATTCTGTTATATACATATCTTCTCCTTTATTCCTTCTTCAATGGACAAGATCAAGTGCTGTTCATCTTCTCCTTCTCCTTCTTACTTTAAACTCCCTCGTCATCTTCATCATCAGGTTCGAGAACAAATGAAGCACCGCAGATTTGCATTTCAAACAAGGAGTCAGGTTGATATACTCGATGATGGATATCGCTGGAGAAAGTATGGCGAAAAGTCTGTCAAAAACAATAAATTTCCTAGGTTTCTCATCTTCTTCCCCTTTTACTTTTCTTTTTCTTCGAACTTCTACGTACTTCAAATTAATCTTTTAACACTTTTGCTGATATTCAAAAACATTATATTCATGTGCGATATGAAAAACTTAGGCATATAACAGAAAATTCTCAACCTTTTATTAAAGTATGCTACGACAACTTTCGTTTGAAAAATTCTAAGTGTTTCCTTGTTTGAGTTCCATGATTGGTAAGTTTTTGTTACTTTGGTTGTATCAGAAGCTACTACAGATGTTCTTATCGAGGTTGCAACGTGAAGAAACAAATCCAACGACATAGCAAAGACGAAGAGATTGTGGTAACAACCTACGAAGGGACACATTCTCATCCTGTGGAAAAGACAAGTGAAAGTTTCGAGCAGATACTCAGAAACCATCACATATATAGCCTCACTCTTTAATTACAGTATCTCCAAAAAATGTTGGAAAATATTTAGTCGATAGCATTTCAATTTATTTTCAGTTTTAACTCTTGAATATTTTTCATTCTTTAGACTAAGTTTAAAGAGACAGAGAGGAAAAAAAGTAAGAATATCTCAATATATTTTTATATAATACATTCTTTCTATTTCTTTTATATCTATCTCCATGCATATTTTCTCTTCTTCTCAAATATATATCTTCTTAGAGCAATTCCAGCACTAAATGTAAAACCTTTATAACAATTTATGAAGAGGTACATCTAAAACATTATGTTTTTCTATGACAATGTTACTGTTCCAATTTGGATTATTAATCTTCATCCAGAACACATTTGACCATTCTTATTTGTTTAATATATGCTATATTATTGAGTAGTTGTAATTTGAGTCGTTTAATAAAGTGATTTTAAGTTCAACTCTTTGATTATGAATTTATTTAAGTAGTTTTAGCATTAAAATTTTAAAAACCGTATTACCTGTTTATTTATTCGTTTATGAAAAAATAATTAATCAAAGGTTTATCAAACACAATATTCTCAATTTTAAAAAAATAATTCAGTATATAAATTAGATTAGAGGTTGAAGCCTTCATTACCATGAGCACCCTTATTCCCTTTCCACATAAAAAAATAAAAACTATGTTCCATAATTTCCTCTTCTGTTAGCAGACATAATGGAATAGATGGCTCATAGTATATTCTAGTCTCTTTTGTCTTTTATAGTTGAACAGTAATAAACATACTCTGTAAATTGATGTTATATAATAAGTATCGTAATTATTTATAATAAATAATTATAACTCATTATCACAATAATATAAAAAAATCATTCAAATAAAACAAAACATCTATTAAGAAAAACGCTTAAACTAATAATTTGTGACCCTTATTTTATAATAATTATCATTCTAGCCCTTGAAAATTTGTTTTATGGCTAAAGCAGTCGTGTAAGAAACAAAAAGCTTTACTGCATAGCATAGGATCCAAATGCAGAAAGAAATCGTGTAAGTAACAATAATACTCCCAAATCAATCATATGTTGGAAATTGTTCATAATTTATGATTTTTATCGGATTTTGAAATTTAGTTAACGGTTTATTAGATTTAGGTGAAGCGAATTTATAGCAGAATTCAAAATTTTGAGGAAGCTCTTAACCGAATTTCTAAGTCCATTAAGTGCACGTCTATATTTTTTTTATTTGTTATAGTTTTCTTTATGTATTTTCTATTTTTTATATGTATTGATTTTAATATTTTTTTTGAATTTGTTTGTTATAAATATGGAAAGAATGTGAGGTGTATCTACTTATCAGCCTAAGAATTTTTCATAAAGGAGACTTACGACGTCAGCTCGTAAAAGGGATCATCCTAAATAAGTTGGAGTATTATGTAATCCTTCATGAGGAGCACTAAGATGTTATTAAGGAGTAGGATGATGTTGTTGAACCTGTAAAGATAATGAAACTTATTTTATAATAGAACAAAAGAATAATAGTTTTACTTGCACAAAATGAGATCCATGAACTAATTGTATACATATTAATCAATTATGATCACATCATATTAATTATATCAAGATTGTCTTATATCAGAAGGTGATGTACTATATAATGAAAAGATCGTAATATTTTGACAATATGACATACAAATTATGATCACATCATATTGATTAGTAGTAACATAGTCAATGTATGATATAACATAACATCATCATCATCTAATACCCCACTTTTTTTATAATAATAGTAATAATAATACCTCAAGAAATTATTAAAAAACATAGAAAAATAAATTAAAATAAAATAGTTAAAAAAATTTAGAAAAAAAAACGATTTTCTTATTTAGATTTTGTAATATTATGTGTATCTTAATAGGATTTTAAAATTCGACAACTTCTTTAAAAGAATTTCTAGAATCTCAGTGAGTTTTGAAATTCGATAAATTTACTTAATTATATTTTAAAATTCGATTAATTTTTTAAATTGAATTTCAAAATTCAATACATCAAAAACTTAATGAAAACAAATATATTAAGAAATATAAAATTTAAAACCTTTAAAAAAAACTTACATCTAAAACATAAGAGATGAAATGAAGAAGATGAACTAAGCAAAGTGGTTGAGAGGTTTTGTGTTTTTTAATGAAAACTTACCTCTAGACCACACGACAAACGAGATAACAGAATGAAACAGAAAAGACTTAGGAGTGCATGACAATAAATGTAAAACCAACAATGAATGCAATTGGATAGTGCTTAACTAATTTTATTTTTTTATATATATTTTACTGAAGGAGAAAACTATAAATTTGGAGATGCTGTGAAAAACCTTATAACGACTATATATTTAACGCATATTCATAACTAAGTTTTTTTTTTTTGTTTTAGGTGAAAGTATATTATTCACACACACTACACAACAATTTAAATATAGTAAATAAAAAACTTCTATTATATATTAAGTATAGATTACCGAACCACGAAGAAAAGTATGAATACGGGGTGTGTAAAAACTTTGGCAATTATTACTTTTGACAGAATAAAAGTTATCTAATTAACAACTAATTTTTTTTTATGATCATACACATGGAGGATTAACAGAAAAAGAAAGCTGGGATTGAAAATATAATTAAGATTGTGGGAAGGATGAACAAATATATATATTTTTCTTTTCTGATAAGTTGGAACTAAATAGAGATCTAAACAATGGCCATAAAAAACAGTATTCTTCAACAGAAATTAACGGGGGAAATTATATTATAATAAATTTCAGTAATACATATAGGTTAGTTAAATTTATAATCTATAATAAAAAATCAATTCATGATGCATGCTTAAAATTTGTAAATGAAAAAATGTACATACATAGATATTTGTGTGTGAATTTATTGCTAATAAATAACCCCAGTATCAGAATTGCAAATAAATAACAAAAATAAATAAACTTCATATAAAAGAATCATTGAATGACATTAAAAAGTATTATTATAAACAATAATCAAATATATTTTTTATTATTTTGCTTACACATAAAATGTAAATTATAATAACCTGTATCTATCATGCTGTGTTACCTATTATGCAATTTAATAAATAGTTAAGTAAAAAAATGAAAAATAAAGTAAATGTTAAATTTAAGAAAAATAAAAAAGATTTAAAGAAAAACAAATAACCAGGTGTACCCACTGAAGAACACATAAACTAGGAAAATAAGGCTTCATAACTTCAAAAGCCATTCGATGATGAAATACAATCCACGGTCAAAAGTGCTTACATACAGTTGAGTGACTAGTGTCTTCATAGCTAGAAGATCCTAACTGTAACTGTCATTAGTCTAGATAAATAATTACCAACTACGAAACTATGAGTAGTTAATAAGAAGGGTCAGTTTCTTCTTATAGATCTTACAACTTTACTAGTTTTCTGTGCTGTTTTTGGCAAAATCTTGCGTCACTGATTTAGATTACCGAAAATTCAGCCATTAATCAATTCGCAGAGATGTCCTCTATAATGCCCTTCCCATCGAAAACATCAAAAAAGAAAAAATTCTTGAGGGGGTCTCCTTTTCCAGAAATTGCTTTGATAACCTCCTGAGACAATAAAGTCAAATTCGTCAGTTCAATATCACAAACATTTTTACAAGGCAATGAAAAGTAGTCAGTACCTGTCCAAGAATGCCCCCTATAACGGCACAAACAGGAGGAAATTCTTTTGCATTTGTCACCAATCTTTCTAAAAGAGTGTCAGGCACATGAGATTCGTTGAGAGACTGTCAACACAAAGATCAGATATATGAAGGACTTTTGTAATACCAGCAAAATAACAAATTTCAGGAAGCATACTTGTGCGGTGCATAGGTCCTTTTTCAGCTTCAGAACAGCAGAAAGATCTGCAATTGAAACTTCCCCAGCACTACGTCCTTCGGCCTCTTCAAACTTTTCGATTACTGCATCGGACAACAAAACGTTAATGACTGCTGCACATTTGTCTATAGACCAGACTGATCATAAAATTCAAAGGAAGAGAACAAAATAGAGATGTATTAATTGTTTACTTCAGAATGAAAACAATCTTGCTTCACACACGAGATGCAAGCTTTCACTCCACGTCTTTGTTAACACAGTCTAAGGACCCAATCAACGGTAAAGTTTTCACTTTCCAATTGATTAGAATCCCTTTGTTTTCTTGTGTATTACTTACAAACAGAGCAGTACAGTTTACCATACCTCTCATTGCAAAGTACAGCTTTGACATTCTCCTGTGAAGTGACCTCCAAGGTACTGACAATGCATCCTGTAGGAAAAAAAAATAGTCATACTCACGAAAATAGCTCTCAACTACAAAAGGATGGTCACTCCAGTAAACTATTAAAGACATAGACAACCAAGACAAAATCACAAGCACAATAACACTAATCCCACATCTGCCATTTGAGATTGTTACAGACTCAATTTTATTTTACAAAATCAACACAACTCTGAAATTTTAATTCCAGCAAAGAAATCATATGGGAAGCATGACAGACCTGAAGTACATGATAGAAAAGAGGGTACTTCTCTTTTCTGACTTCTAGATTATGATACTAGGTTCACTGAATTTAAAAGTATGCATTTGAAGTCATACCATGGGTATCTGATGTAAATTAATAGTATGGCCTGCTATAATGATTACCGGTTGCATCAACTACCCTTCGAATCAAAATAAACATAATATATCAACTGTTATTTTCATTTCTTTATGCAAATGATAAACTATAGGAAAAAGTTTTGAAGGTCTTATGGATTGCACCACATACTATTTTGGGAAACATTAAAGGATTTCTCCACATAAGAAGAAATACAAGGTAGTATTGCAACTATAATGAATAAAGACTGACATACCTCAAAAGAAGGATATTTCAGATCGCATTCAATGGTTTCATCCTGTTTTTTCTGCCAAATAAAAATAGAGCGTTAAAAAGAAAATAGATGCAGCTTTAGAAAGCACAGGATCATCTAATGCTTATAATTTACTACTTGGAATCACAAACAATTTATTTCTAGTAACAAAACATAAGCACGGTTGTTAAACTCAAACATACTATGTAAACTTATGAAACTCCATAAAGTTGAACTGAAAACTCTGAAGAGTTTACTCAATATGAAAATTACAAGGTAAACATTGCAAGGTAACTGAAATATTAATATTATTATTTTAGCTTATTATATTATATTTTATTTAGTTATATATATATATATATTTATTTATCCCAACAACATTGCAGGGTTGTTAAATTCAAATGTTATTATATATTTATCCCTGTTTTCTGATTATGTATTATTTATTCAATATCAGAGTATCCCATAGTCTTAAAATGATATAACATATGACTAATAAAAAAACAGTAAAAAATACACAACAAACCCAAAAAAACCTATAAAAACATTTTTTTTTGTCACAAAACATAGACAAGGTTGTTAAACTCGACAGTCCATGTAAACTTACGAAAGCTCCATAAAGTTGAACTGAAAACTTGTAATAATTTACTCAATATGAAAATTACAAAGTAAACATTGCAAGGTAACTGAAATATTAAATTTTATTATTTTAGCTTATTATATGATATTTTATTTAATTACTATATATATATATATATATATATATATATATATATATAAAAAAATTCAAATGTCATCATAGATTTATCCCTGTTTTCTAATATATAATTATGTATTATTTTTTAAATATTAGAGTATCCCATAGTCTTATAATGATATAACATATTACTAATAAAAACAAGAAAACCCCAACAGACCCAAAAAAAAAGCCTATAAAAACAACCTAATCTGCTTCTTCCATCCAACTCCCTTCCTTAACAAGAACAGATAACAAAGAGACTTCTGGCAGCACAAATGGTGCAATTGCAACACCAAAATACATCTTCTTGGAGACGTAAACCCGTCCCAAGTCTACAAGTTTAATAACCATGAGCATGAGAAAAAAACAAAAATGATTATGAAAATTCTTAATGAGTCTAATTATCAAATAGTAAGACATACAATCCACAATAAAGGGCATCACTATGAATACCAACTTACACGTTCACTAATCTTTCTGTTTTTATGATCTTGTACTTAGGCTTCGCTTGCAGCTTCTACCACTAATAGCAATAAAAAAAATACCAAAAATGACGACTTTTTATTCATTGAAATCACAAATAGAGTAGAGATTGAATTCTTTACAAACCATCTTCATATAAAAAGCACAGAAATTGACTCAACAAAATCAAAGAAATAATATCTAGTCATAAAATCATATAATTGTGACAAATTAGTTCCACAAAAGTGAATGGTACCTTTGAATATTTATAATCCTGCAAATCAACAAAAACTTCACCACACGAATCCCTACAGTCAACAGCATAAAATGCTACACGTTTTGATAGCTTTCTGCATTTGTCATTAGCCAGTTTCTACAGCAAAAGCAATAGAGGCAAACAAGAATGTTAAAAGACACTTTACAGTATGAGAAATGTGTAAAGTAATTTTATGTACAGTAAATGTACAGCATCAGAAATAAAAAATATTCCAAATTACTTTGGCTGAAAGTGAGCAACAACTGACGACGACAACATTGAACTTGCTGAAGAATTCAACACCAAAGCTTGACAAATCCCCTGAAGCCAAGATGAGTGACATAAAAGTACAAACAAAACATAATGTCAAAAGCCACAAGAAAACAATGCAGAAGCAGAAACCAAACTAAGAAGGGAACGGGTGTGAAACAAAAACCTTTCTCAACTGAAACACGAACCATAGGATTGAAATCTTTAAGAGAATTACAACAAAGCTCCGCAAGGGTCTTTCCACCATACACATCCTCAACAGGAGGGATGAGAAAATTTGAGGAAAATGCCTCCTCAGTGGCAACCCGATCATCTACTAAAGTCAGACTACCTACTCCAGCAAGAACAATATTCTTGCAAAACTGACCAACAAAAGTAAACTCAGACACCATACAAAATGACAAAAACGCGAGAAGGATACAAATAAAGTGCAAAAGGAACAACCAGTAACCAAATCCAACATCCTATTTCACTCATTTTTATGTTGTGTGTCAAAGTCAATTTTGAGAAACCAACAAGATAAAGTGGTGGAATTACCTCAGCTACAGTTCCTTTCATTCCATAGACTAAGACATGAGCTTTGCTTAATCTAGGTAAACCAGAACAACAAAAAAGAAACTATAGTTAAAATGCTGAATAGAGTGATTGCTTAAATTTTTAAATTAGATACAACGAAAAAAAAATAGCAGAATATAATTAGGTTATGAGAAAAAAGTAACAAAACAAATCGAAACAATTCAGAATTTGAAAACTAAAAGAAGAAAGAACCTTCTTTGAGCATCGGCTCCCCAAACCCTAATTTGGCGGTCATACAAAGCAGTCTCCTGCGCCGTCAACTCCTCGCCGTCGCCCTCCATTCCGAGCCGCAACCTGCTCCACGACATCATCGAAACCTTCACTTTCAATTTTCAAATTCGCAAATAATAAGAAACAAAGTACAAATTAGCAACAATGACAAACACCCACTGTCGCTGAATCCCCTCAAAGGCAAAATTCCGTTTCTCGCTTCAAGCTCTCAGTAGCGCACGGAGGAGAATAATGGGTAATGGTGAGTGTGATTTTTTGGGGGTCAACTGCACCAGAAGAAAAGCGCCAAACAGCAGGAGCCCAAGATCAAGAAAAATGTAAGCCCGAATAACTTAAATGGGCTTCGTCACTTTGGATCCATCTAACTGGATACCTAATTTGGGCAACAAAAGGCCCATGACGGAAACCTTATTTGTAAATCATCTGGTTACCAGATGGAATATGAACAAAGATTCCTATTTTTATAAATCTTCTCGTGATCAGAGCTAATTATGTATTTTATTTATTAAAAAACAAACTACATGATAGATAATTTAGAATAACTCACAATGAATTGTATTATCAGAATTGGAACTTCAAAGCACAAATCAAATTAAAATAAAATGCATATAACAGAAAAACGAAAGATACAGATGAAGAACACAAAAAGCCAAAGAATAATTTTATAAATTAAATATATATTGTAAATTTGATTTAAACCATGTGAATAATATTAAAAAATATATCTTAAATTTAATTCAATCTAATAAAATCAATTTGAAACAAAAATGTATATTATAAATTAGTTTTACGTTTAATAGATGTGATATTTTAATAAATTATAATGAAATTTTGTTGGAGAATATGTATATTGAAGAAATGATTAAATGGGTTTGTGATCAGAAGAAGCAGGAGAGGGTGTTTTTGTGGACCTAGAGATGCGTAGTGGAGTGTAGGTATGAAGTTGAAAATCGAAATATCGGCTGGTGTGTAATAATTTAAAATGTGTTCTGTCCTTATCCATTTTGTTTGGGAGAGCACGGCTTCACGAACGAAGATGATTCCTCTCCATCTCCCTCACCCCAAAAAACTATAAGCAACCTTTTTGTTTTATTTTGACAAAGAAAGTGGCAACATGGTTTTAAATGTGTGGAGTTCAAGGTGGTCCAAGTTTAGGTAGTGCAAGTATTTGTCCAAGGTCTGGTAGAGTTTTCTAGAGTAGGCATCCATAGCACTGCTAGATTTATCACTTCTTCTTTGTCAACATCCCTACGTATTACACTGCCTTCACGAAATTCACAGACAAAAACGGGTAAACTTGCCTAGAAAACAGAGAACGAATTCCTTTTATTTTCTTCTTCCTCCAAACAACATGCTTCCTCTTTGCATCCTCTCCTCCACCACCACCCACTATCCACTTCAGTCCTAATACAATAACAACAACATCATTTTCTTACGTTTCTGTAGGAGAAATTCAAACGAGAGAGAAAGAAAAACCTGTATCAGGCAGAATATCGCGGTTGGAAACTTCCACTCTGGTCCACAGACCCATTAGATTCGCATTATGGGTCATGAATGGTAACACATAATTTAAGTGTGTCGTGGCTAAAATTACGTGTACTTGAATTTCCCCAATGTAGCACCAAACCCTACCTATTGAATAAATCTGCTCTTGCCTTAACTGGCTATGGCTATCTATGCCTCTCCTTCTGGGAGCATATATATCAATTTATTTACTCTTGATGGTTTAATTTGAAAAACGAATTTGAAAGGTCGCGTTAGTGGAAGTGCAATGTGCGTGTCTTGAGATTTGAAACGTGCCCCAAGTGCAAGGGAAATGTTAACTTCACCCAACTTTTTTAAATGTCAGCCTCACCTATTCAAATATCTTTAAGACTCACACGTCTATTCTACCTCACTCACATTCACTTGGATTATTAAACTGCGTCACCACACCATCTTTTATTCAATTTAATTCACTTACCAAGCTTTCCAGTTGATCAAATCGACAACCACTTCAAACTCTCCTCAAAATAACATACTTCTTTTTGTATCAACATTACATAAATCCACTTTTCTTCCTAAATTCTAAATTTAAACAACAAATATTATCATGTTATGACAAAAATCAAAATTCGAAAGGTCGATGTCCCGTTGTAGGTACACATTCCTATTAAAATAATATAATTTTGAAAAATATCAAAATATATGTTTTCAACGGGAAATAGTCAAAATTAAATAATTAACTTTTTTTAGTTGAGTTGTTATATATTTATGATTAGAAATTGTAAGGTTGTGGATTTTATTTTAATTTAACAAAACATAAAATACTCTTATTAAAAAAATCATAAAAAATGGTTATAGAATTGAGTAGAAATATTAACAAATTTTATTAAAGAAAAGAATAATAAATTCAATAAAACTTAAAACATGTTAAACTGATTATATGAAAGATTTTATACATTTTTTAATTTTGGTTTTTGCCTTAAAAAAAAGGGAGAGATTACAATTGCTTGTTTGAGATCATTAAAACGAGAAATTCAAAGTTCATACAGTTTTTCTTATCCATAAACTCCAAATACGAAACGGTTTTAAAACTATAATTTCCCTTAATAGGGTTTCGTTTATACGTTTAATGTAAACTTCATATTCAAGGTAAGAGATATTTAAAGTTGACTTCTTTTTTTATTGTTAAAATTATCAATAGTATTGATTTTGGATCGTTATTATTATTATAAACCTTCAAAAGATGAAATCAAGATTTTTTTTATACATGAATATCAAGACTTCATATCATTTATTAAAATATAAATAACGATAGCATAAAATGTGTGTCTATCTGTCTACGATGGTTAAGTTTGATTTTAATTTCTAAAGAATTTGACTTTTATGAATTTCTCATCATCCAAGTTAACAAAATATTTACCTGTTTAAGACAATGTTATGCTAGGACTGAACACTTTTAATGACATGGTTGCCGTGTCTTATCGTGTCACTTACAATATTCTCACATGCTAAGGTGAGTTTTTCTTAAAAAAGAATAATGATTTGATCGTATAAAAAAATTAATTTAGACTTTATAAACTTTTAGTGTCATAAAAATAATTATTTAATTTCATAAAAATATATTTAAAGTATAGCAGTATCGTGTGTAATGATTCATTATGAACCTGTTCTAAGAAAAATATTTGTGGCTAGCTAAGTTTCTCATGTCCTATCGGACAAAAATATTTTTGTTGATAATTAATAATATTATATTTATATATTATATTCGAATGCACATAAATGATTAAATTTAGATTTTGATTGGATAAGAACAGAAGAAGAAAAAGTATTCCATCTCTTCATTCTCACTGGTGTCGATTATATATTTATTATGAGGTAAATTATGCTAATTTTCATTTAATATTTATTTTATAAAAAATAAACTTTAAGCACCACTTACAATTTAATGTTAAAGTGTCAATTTAACATACTTGAATATTTTGATCAATGTAAAACTTCAATTTAATTTATTACTGTAACTTCTATATGTTTTAGTGTTATTAATGAAGATATAGGTATGCATATTTGTTCATGTAAGATAATTGTAATAGATAGGTTAAAAATTAATTAATTATAAATTACAACCAGAATAGAGTAATCTATCACTGGGCAAAGAAAGTTGACTAATACCACAAAACCTAAAACATGCTCCTTTAGAAACAAAATTTGGATTATTTTTATTCTTGAAGATTCAAAAGTAGTGATTTTGTTGGTAGTTTACCTTGGTTCTAAAACTTATAAAAACACTATTTTTTGTCCTTAAAACATATATAAATCACTTATAAATTATTATCCATCAATAAAAAATTATTTTCATCTAATAAAAATGAGAACTAACTAATAAAAAACTTTATGTGTGTTTCATCTGAAAGATTAAGACCTTACATCGGCTTCGTATATGTTATGTGAAATTAAAAAAAAAAACCTTAACAATGATGATATAAGTTTAAACATCTTAACAGCATCAAGAGAATATTAAGCATCATGGACCACTCAAATCTTCCTTTTGTCAATGTGCAGCAACTTCTTCAGTAGACTACAGTTGTTAATATTAATATTATACCAGATGATATATCAAATTCATTTTCTTTTTTAAATATTATTTGGATAATATTTAAAAGTTAAAATTGTTGTATTATTTATTTATATACTATTATCCCATTGGTTAAACATAGGATGACAAAAAATATTCGAACCCTCAGTTATCGCGATAATTAATACTTGCATATACATAGTAACTATTTTAAATATTGGTTTATAAACTATGTTTTTTTGCAAAATAAACAAAAATAAAAATAATAATTTAATTTATATTTTATTTTATTTTATTTAAAATAAAATTAATTTATATTTTATTATATTAAATTTAATTAAAATTAAATTTTAATTTTATATATTTTTTGTAATTTTATCTCAATTATATTTTTAAAATATATAAAAAATATGTATGGATTGAGTTTTTGTTTTTCATGTCAGAGACCATGGATAGAAACTATTTGTACCCAGTGTCAAGTGATTATATTTACTTTTGTTTTATAACTTAATTTTATATTTATATATATCTTATTCTTGTTTATTGTATAAATGGTCTTCTGGTGAACAATTATAATTTATCTCATAAATGTTGTAAATTAAAATGTATTTTTTTTTTACTTTTTTTTTTAACATTTATTATGATCATTTGCTTTGTAAAATTTCTATTTATTTAATCTTTAAACTTAAATTATTTAGTTATTTTATTAGCTTGAAAGTAACATCGACGGTATTGCGTTTGACGACACTTGTAAAATGCATTTTACCACCATTTAAATAGAAAATAAGCAAAATGAAAAAAATAATTCAAAATCTAAAGTAAAATTTTCAGTAATCATAATATTAATACAAACTATTAGTCATTAAAAACAATGATTAACCATTACCATATAAGTATTTACCTTCACTTATAACATATTTCAAAACGACATTGACGTACATTACTAAAAAATTAGATGATGAAATATTAAAAGGAACAATAAAGATTTACAACATATTTTACCTTATTACGATGTATTAAAAAGTTTCCTCCACCATTTATGAATTACAAAAGTTTCTACAATAGCTAATATTTATCACTTCATCATGTCCCTTAAAGAAACATATTTTGATCTTGTTTATAACCAAATTTGCTTCCTACCACATTTTATCATCAATTTTACGTACAAACAAAAACATGTAAGTGTAAACTAATGTAAATAAAAAATAACATCATGGTTATGTGTGTTATCATTATTATATATATATATATATTATCATGCATGTATAAAAATCAAGT